GCAAAATCTTCACATTACCTTTTCCATAACTGGCACTCGGATCAACGACATCCAACTTGCCAAAAAAGCATGGCCTTTTCTGACCAGTTTGGAATCGGCTTCAACCTCTCTGCGGTCGACACACCTCTGAAGTTCAAGCAATGATCGCCAGGATCAGTCCCCAGTCTGAAGACATTTAGAGTGGCTCCAAGTATTCAAAGCTGATCTCCCCTCACGACAAGCTCTTCAACCATGTCAATGAGCTTCTGCAGAGTATCGTTGAAGGAGAGACCTGAGTGCTTGCAGCTACCATGACGATGGAGATGGAGAACATTTACAACGGCACCAAAGAGTCTAAGCAGGAGGTGTTTAGAGAGGTTCAGCTGGAACTTGACCAATTTAGGTTCTGATTTGCCATGTTAATGTCAAACAGTTGGTGGATGTGAGGGCATAAATACTTCCACTCGGGGCAGAAGACACAGCTGGAGCCTGCCGATCAGGTCAAAGTGGGAGATTGGGGTCAAAGCCAGGGAAGGGCAGGCTCTTCAAAATTCGGCTAAAATTGATGACGAGATAAAAGATCATACCAACATAGCATAGGCACGGGCACAGGCACGGCTAAAAGAAAGTAGAGATTTCTATGTGAAGAGAGGTGGAGGAACTGGTGGCACAGGTGCAATCACTATATATGTGCTTGTCTACTAGAAACATTGGATGACAACTTGATATGATCAACAAATCATTAGGGGAGTAAGATTCAGATTAACTTATCGATGGAATATCTCAAGGCAATAACATTATTTGAAATTCGAGCAAAAACATTTGTTTGAAATTCGAATCACTCCACCAGCAAGATTAATCATGTCGCACTTGAATGATTAACAATCTCAAACACTACTCTTAGAGATTACCTCATCATCGGTGGAGGGATATCTCAAGAAATTGCCAACATTAATGCCATGACATTAAGGGGCTTCAACCTAAGATTAGCATGTGAGCGAAAGGGCGATGGACAGGGCTCGGAAGGAGGCGGAGCTGGACCTGTCGCTATGAAAGAAGTGGCTGGAGTTCATAATCCTGCCACAATTGTTTCAAACGGTTCATGAGCAAACTAGAGTGCTTCCCCCCGCCATAGATGGGAGCCATGACTGACACTAAACGGAATGAAGCACACCGAGGATAATGGGTTCGGTCTTTTCCTCTCTCATGAACCTTCATTTTTGCATACATATTCTACTACATTTGGATTCAATCAACCCTAATTGTTTCATGGGTTTAGCCATGGAATTTGGAATAAATATTCAACATTCATGATGTTTCACGAGACAGTTGAAGAGAATGCTAGCCTATTTATTTTGCACAAAAACCAAACAACGTTTACACAGATTTGATACATTTGCCTATCACTTAGCCAATCAGATACGAGATAATCGATACATATCCAAAAACGTATAATATATTGTGTGAGAATTGAATCAAGTACCGGGTCTCCATACTTCTCGAGCACATCTATCCGAACTTACTTACGATCCCCAGTTAGGAATGTTTGCTGTGGCTTCATTAACCATTTTCACCAGTGTCACCTGCAAATGCATTAATGGAAAATGTTATCTCAGTCATCACTAGAAGTTTAGACTGTGTTTGAAAATTTTTAAATTCATTAAGAACTACTCAATCATAATTCATTTCCTGTACCAAGTTAACCATGGTAACTGTATAGGACAAAGTTAGGACACGTACCACGCTTTCGGGGATGCCAGGTGGTGGCAAGGGAAGGTTTCTTGGGGGAACGACCCTATCATAAGACCTTTTGTCAAATCTCCATTCTCCAATCTTCCCATAAGTCAGTTCTCCCTGTATTCCAGAGGCACAACGAGACAGACAGAAGGTAAGCCATGCTATCTAAATCAATTTGAGAGACTGGTATGACATAATCAACATTGTTTTGTTACCTTCATAGTGTAGTCACATCCGTAAGTATAATGGATTATGAACTTCTTGCCGACTTCGGTATCCCATGGTGGCTGTAAAGAAACAACGTCCCAAAAGTTAACTAACAGAGAAAATCAGGATATCCATCACCTAGGAGAGTGAAAGGCCAATGTCCCTCATTTCCTACATTCACATGTTTCCTATATGGAATTAGGTAAGATATCACATGGTTTGGCAAAAAGATATCACATGGATACAAATGTTATGCTGTATACAAAAAGATAATCTGACAGAAAAGAAACAGAAAGGGATTTTCTCTTAGAACCTGAATCATGAAGTCCTTATACAGAATGTTACCAACACCATGTAGAGCGGAAGCAACGGCATAAGCATACCTGCAGTCACGATGTAAGAAGAAGACAAATGGAAATGAAAAGGAAAGAAGTCAAGGAAAACCATGGAAGTGATGAAGATAAATTGAACCTCCAAGGAGAAAAACTTACATTTCAAGAACCCAACCAAAAGCCTTATCAGTTTCAGGATCCTTCTTCATAGCCAAGGAAACATTCATCCAAGTGGGAGCTATTTTGTTGAGAGAATCCTAGCAAAATTTAATCGAAAGAGTAAGAGAATGTAAACAGCTGAGAAGAATCCTAATGTTATCACTTAAAAGCATGGTGTGCATACCTTTCCAACAATAACAGGCGAATTCCCTATCGGATCGATGTTCGTAATTGGACCCTTGTCCTCAGGGAAGAACTTCCGTAGCTGCTTCTCATACTTCTTGGGTTCAATGTAAAAGAAAGGAAATGCAGCCCCAAGCCCATCCTTAGATAAATTTGGTATAGGTTTGACAATAATATGATCCGGCTCTGACATGAGTATGTAACTATAAAACATCATTTTAGACAACAATAATCAGGCTAAACTCAAAGGTAAAACATAATTGATCCATCAGTCAATTAGAACACAAAAATCAAGTTCCTCCTACTCTTCCTTGATGTCCGCACTTTGAAGCCATTGCACAAACGCCCACGGTCTATTGAGGACTATGTAGCCCTGTTACAGTTTCAAACCACAGATGAGCAGCTAATAGATGGTAATTTCATCTCTAGGAAACAAATCCAAGATAGAAAATTCTGAATTCAATTAGAATTGTTGCCCATTTGACATTATTTCACTAGCCGAGTTATTTACAATCAAACAATTTCAACACTAGCTTGGGATTTCCTAAGGGGAATTTTATCAAACAGGTGGAGTGCACAAACAAAATCATAGATAGCACATCACAGAATCACGGAATCACAGAAAAACCCTTCCCCTAAGATCTTCAAAGCATACAGAACACCATATAAATTAGTACCTGATCCATCCCCGCCGGCAGAGGCTGAGCAACAAACGTGGGAATTTCATCCATATACTTGTCGGGCTTCCCCGAGTGCAAGATCCTGGTGAAACCACCCATCTCAGAATTAGGTTCATCCTTGAACTTCTTAAACCAATAGTACATGATCCGACACTGCCAAGTGTTGTAAACCGAATCCGAGGAAGTGACGGCCGTATGGAACAGTTGCTTTGAGGAAGAAGACTTCAATCTATCCACCGGCATCTTAATCACAGGGTCGATAGTAATGGAAGACGAAGATCTGGATGGACCAGGAAGCTCTTGCTTAAGAGGGGCATTAGCAGAGATGATGATGTTGTAGGTAATTAGGGCTACGGAGAAGGTTACAAGAACCAAGAAGAACAAATTCCCGCAACCCATTTCGCGATTCGAATCTCAGCTCAACTGAATTTGCCCATATCAATTCCCTTCAAAGCAGAGACGGAAGAATTATATGTTCCCGAGAAGTCGTCGCTGCAGAAATTGGCTGACAGATTAAATTTCATTTTGGAATTATACAATTAATAAGATGCAGATTTGGATCTTGGAGCGGGCGGCGGCTGGGATTGTTACAAACTCCACAAAATAAACAGTCAGCCATACAGCCCAGTTCAGATCTTCGAGCCATTGCAACCATCTTCTGCTCCATTCTACTCCACAACAGTTTTTTTTTTTTTGTTTTTTTTCTAAATTATATAACAATATATATAACTAATTCACGCACTAATTTTAATAAATAAATAAATAATAACAAATAAAATAAAATACTCATAAACTTAACTTAGTAAAGAATATTTTAAATTTAGCTATAATTTAATAAAATTAAAAATTTAAAGTAAAAATTGATGATATTTGGATGTTTTATTTAAATAATGCACAATATTTATTGATAGAACTTGGATTATGTTTTTTTTATTTTACTAATTAAATAAATTTTATCGGTTAAATATTACTATTAGAGTTTTAAAATTAAACGGACTAAAAATTTAAATATTATTATTATTATTATTTTGTTTGATTAGTTCGGAATTGAGCGTGTTTGGATATAGAAATAGTGTGTGCTTACTTAGCTTAGTTGTAAATTGTAATCGATAATTCTAACCTTTAACTTTTCAAATTCCTTTCTTCCGTGTTTGGTCATAGCATAGAGTACGCCCGCTTGGCTTACTTCCGCCTCTCTAATATTCCAACGTTTTATTCATTATTATGGAATTAAACTTTTTATAATATTTGATTAAATTATACAAATATAAAAATTACTTAGGAAAACCTCATTTTAATAATCATTTAATTTTTTGTTATTTAAAATTAAGTCACAAAAAAAAAAAAAAGAAATTTATGGTTTTATAGGTATATTATAAATATTGGAAATAGGAAAAAATTATGAGATATTAATTATAGCAAAATTAAATTTAAAGGAAGCAATTATAATACCTGACATCTGCGGAGTACGAAGCATAATTGATCAACGGCTGTAAATATCTGACACCGTGGACCCCTCAATGGTTTCGATTCGTAGAAAACGCGCACAGTTCTTGACGGATGCGTGCGTGGCAACATCTGATTGGACAATTTTTTTCAAATAAATAACATTAAAATATCGTTGAGATCTGATTTGAATTTATCTAGAATTTAATGTATAAACCTTTAAATATTGAGTTGGGGTAATTCAGCAGAAAACAAGAATAAAGCACTTACAAGGATTCCGAAACGGCAAAGGAACAGATTATAATTGCTTTCATGGCGGCTGAAACAACCTAAATTCCATCCTCGCTGGAGGTTTTCCTTCTTTGATTATGGCGTCTTCTTCTTCTTCTTCTTCTTCCGCCATTGATGAAACCTTTCGGTTAGAGGAGAGAGGATCTAATCGGATCGAGGAGGAATCGGATCTGGAAGTCGGAGTTTCGTATTCCTCTTCTGGAGGTTTCTTCGAATTCGGATCGTGGCTGTCTCGGAGCAGTAGTGTTCGATGCCGATATGTATCGCTGCAAGCGCAGCGGCAGAACGACGAGGAAGTGAATCAGAGTTGGATGATGAAGAAGGTGAAGAGGTTCGAGGAGATTATACAAGCTATGGCTAGGTCGAAGTGGAGAAGCTTCATTAACGGAATAGTTAACAAGAGACGCAGTGTGAGGTTTCAGTATGATCCGAGGAGTTATGCGCTGAACTTTGACCACGGGATCGGAGAAGATGGCAGCGGAGGTGGCCGCCATGGTTACAGTCCGCCGTCTGAATCGCCAATGGGATTGGGGATTCGGATGAATAGGAGCGAGATATGATGCGATCATGCAAATAGTGTTCGATAACTTCCATCGGTTCTTCCCAATTCATATTTTATGTACATTACTTATTTTTTTTTATATATATATATATATATTATATTAATCAACAATTTTATGAAAATTGTTCTAAACAAAAATAAGTTTGTTTTAAATTCATTCAATTTTGCTTCATATAGGTTAACACAATTAGAGATTCAAATAATTATCATCTACATTTGTTGACTCAAAATAAAGAAGAAATATAATTTAACAATAATTGACGTACATTTTTTTTAGTTCAGAAGTTCAAAATTACCATTAAGTTACGACTCTTCTAAGAATGAAGGGCGAGTGGATGAGACCTTCGAGCTGCATCTCAACCATTTGGTTGGAGCCATGGTCTATCCAGTCGTGCTTCATATCCTTCTTTCTCGACATGGTGCTCTTAGATGCTTCTGATCAATAGTACTGAAGAGGAAAAGGTTCTTTTTAGAGAATATCATCGCTTTTTCTTCCTTTACGGGACCAACTTCCATTGAAACATAGTCGTTATTGTCATGACCATTCCACCTGAAACTCGTCCTCAAAATGTATCTTATCGATCGATTTGACCTATTTTGTTATGGGTTATAGAGAGAGTTAACTCAATTTGACCATATTGGCTACAACTTCGAAACAATCTGGCTACTATGAGTGTAAAGGAAGCATACAAAGCTTATTACACTATACATCTATTTCTCACCAAGAAAATTCTTCAGCATCTCACTAAAAGCAAAGTTCTACAAATCTGCATATTTAAATTCTAATGTTGTGTGTAGTTTCATTCATCCATCCGTCCATCCATCCATCTCCTTCACCATTTACATTTCTTTCAGCATATAAGTTATATGGCACAGATTCACTTCAATTCCCAGTTTCATTCTCTGCACTAGGTAACGAACTGTATTTCAGTAATGCTTCGAATTTGTTTGGGTTATACCTTATGCATACAACAAGAAATCGTGGGATCGGGTTCTTTCTCGAGCTATTGATGGTCGTCGCATGGTGTGTCACCTGCATTACTTCTTTTGAAATCGTGTTAGAACAAGGCACACAAGTTCTGGACTAGCATTTGGCTCAGTAGCTATATACCTTTTGCGTTTGGTCTTCATGGTTGTTGTGGTTGAAGGATTGGCGTGCCAATTCCTCTTCCTTTGGTTAATAAACCAGTTATTTATCTGCTTCAGTTGCAGACCGGTTTCCTGAACCAACTTTGCTTTATCTTCCTCCTAAAAAACAGAAGATCAATAAAAGGTGTAGCAGTGAGTTATTGGAGAAAGTAAAGCTTCACAACTGCTAACAATTTGCTTGTTTAGTGGTTAGATGATGAATATGCGCTTCTTTTGAGACCCGCGTACAAAAATTATGATAGGAATGCTATTAGGAATATTATATGAGTATTGAGGGTCTATTAGTAAATAGTATTGTGGATTGTCGAGGGGGAGTCCATATTGGCTAATTAAGGGGGATGATCATGGGTTTACAAGGAATACATCTCTATTGTTACAAGACCTTTTCAGAAACCAAAAACAAAGCCATGAGCGTTTATACTCTAAAGTGGACAATATCATACCATTGTTGAGATCCATGGTTCCTAACAAATAGATAGGGAGTTTGTCAGGGTATTTGGTTATAAAAGAGGGAGTGAGAAAGGAGAAAGTTGGTTTATGTGAGATCCCACATTTGTTGATTCAGTGGGTTTGGTTTATGTGAGATCCCACATCGATTGGGGAGGAGAATGAAACATTCTTTAGGAGGGTATTATAAGGGTAAATAGAGAGAGTGAGAAATGAGAAAGCATTGATTTGAAAGTAAGCGATGATTCAGTGGGTTTGGTTTATGTGAGGTCCCACATCGATTGGGGAGGAGAACAAAACATTCTTTATAAGGGTGTGAAAGTCTAGACGGAAAAGCCCAACAAATAAGACAAAATCAATTAGTGGTGGACTTGGACTGTTGATAATATCTACTAGGAGTGGGGTTAGGTTGTTAAAGTTTAGGATTTAGAGTAAGAGTGCACAACAGAACGGAGGAGGTTCTCCGTTCTAAGTAACTTGAATACTTGGTTATATGGTAGTTCGGTTATCTTTTACATTGCAATACATTTCTGATTCTATTAAATTAACAGCAGAAGCTCATAATTGACCTTGCATATTAGAAACAAAGAAAATTTACAAGCAGCATACTCACAGTAGGGTATGGCCATTTTGAATGTGATTGCCACCAAGCTTTTAAGACGGACGTAGTGTCACCAGGAAGTTTACCAGCTCTCCTTTTTCGTAAAATTTCCTCCCTGATGTCTACAATTTTCTCCTTGTAACCCTGTTCAAAGCAGAGTTAGTATTGAAATAATATTTATTAAACCTTCATTTACACAGAGAGAGGGAGAGAGAGGTCTCACATTCTTTAATTCATGCTTCAATTCGTGCCTCACCCTCTCCATCAAGGATTTCTCACTCTCTGTTGGGATAAGGGGACCAAATCCCGTAGCATCATGACCCTCCAAACATCCATCAAACATAATAGCATCGCTATCTATCTGGTCTTCCTCATCATCAGACATGGTAGCACCCGTACCTTCACCAGGTGAAACACCTGGACGAGGCAAATGCAGAAATAATTATAGCTTTTATTGCCAGCAATAATTATATACCATCCAAATAAAAATAGTCACCCGGTGTACACAGAAAAACTGAGTAACATGCAATCATGTCCTTGGTTGGGACAAAATGTAGGACCATAGAGGCACACTAGATCAAAATCACAGAGAAATTGAGATGTTAAAATAAACAACCAGCTACAAATTTAATCTCCTTGTTTGAGTCGTACCCATCTTTCTTCTAATAAACTGAAACATAGTTGCACCTTTAGATATCATAATTTTCAGCTTCTGTCATCTCAACGAGTGGCCCAATGTGGGTATTAAATTTGGGGGACATCAGGCTTAAAAGTCTAGTAAATAGCAATTTATGATGAACGTCAGAGAAAATAAAGGGTACAGAGATTTAAAACTCCAATTGCTTAACAAAAACAATTGACTTCCTTCCATCAGTTTCCCACCAAGACCCACCAGGAGGAAGGCTATCCCCGTATTTCTAATGCAAATTTATCGTGCCATATGCGGCAGTGAAGTCTTTCAATTCGCATAATCTAAAGAACTTCTGTCTAACTGGTTAAGAAGAAGACTTTAGGTATACTTGTAAGGCATTTAGGGGTAACAAAGGACGAGCATTATCCTAAAGAAACATCAAACATGAGAAAAATGAAACTTTTACTCAGTAGGGAAAGCAAATTCTAGATAGCATAACCGATAAGCATTCAAAACATTTCCACTCTCAATTGTTTAAAAATCACCTGTCAAGCTCTGCAATGATTGCTCAATTTCCCAGCAGGCATACACTGCTTCCATTGCATGGAAGCGGACATGCTGCTGAAGTTGTTCTTTAAACGAACAAAGTAATAGAACATAATGCGTCTGCAGCATAGGGAGATGGAAAAACAATGAGAATTCAATTAGCGTCATCAAGCTGTCAGTTCTAAAGATCTTCAATGTACCAGAAGCAACAGATAAATTCATGCAGCACTTCAGAATTTACTGAAACATCGACAGTGTCATACTAGAGATATCGTGCAGGAACAAATTATCTAATTAAAGAACCTCGAGAAACCAAACAAGTCCTAGTTTGACGTTTGAAAAAGAATCCAGACGAAAAACACGAAAAGAATTTCCCTTCAAAAGTCGACTGCTCCAAGAAATTGGATATAAACATCATTGAACAGTATAAAAGGAAGAGCCAGACATTGATAATTCAAAGTTCTTAAGTTTACTAGAATATGATGATGACACAACAATGTAAGACATGGATTATGTCCTTTGAAATTGACAGATAATGGAATGAATGAAGCATACGATTCAGAAATCGGTTTAATCAATGCCCTGCTGAGAAAAAAAAGCATGAACACATAGTATCTGGCAACTTCCTTTGCGCTAAATCCCAACATTCAATTCAATAATGAATTGACAATCACTCGCTTTCTTAGCCCTAGTTCTTAAATCGAAAAGGGTTTGCTGATTCGCCCAATTTCAGAGCACAAAATCACCAGAGGATATCGTCTAATTAGACTGGAAAAGCAAAAACCACACACAGATGGTAGCCCTACCACGATTCAATTAAGCGAAAAAGAAAACGAGCGGGGGAGTCGCTGTTATTCAGAGCCCTTTTTCCATGGAAGACGAGGGTTCTAGGCATTCTAAATCCCCCCCAAGAAGAATGTCCAAAACGTACTATCAACTTCCAAAGTGAAAATTAAAGAAATGGAGGTACTTACAAAGGGCAGACAGGGATATAATTTTATAATCTTTCTCCAACAGTATTAAACAATCCATCAAAAAAGAAGAAGCGTACCATGAACTGATCGATCTCTTTTCCATTTCCGACAACGGGCTGAGAACCGTGCCCCAGCGACGAGTACTTCGCCGCCACATTCTGAGACTCAGCAAGCTGAGAATCAATCCTCGGCAACTGATCCACCGGTGTTGCGATCCGGAGGCAGGCGACGTGAGCAGAGAGCAGCTGCTCGTAAAGTGGATGCGCCAGAATTTCAGCCTTAGCCCGCGCATTCTGCCAATTCACTATCGCCTCTTCACATTGAGCACCTTCATTACCATCGCTCTCAATCGCCACATCGTCACTGTTGTTCACATCCTCCCCTCCGCCGCCGCAGCTATTGTTCTTCAAATCGTCCGATTCGCGCGACAAAGTGGTCGTGGCGCCAATCATAGCATCGGCAGCATCGGCAACTTCATCAATAACATCGCTATGATTGCGATGGAGGATCGGACGGGAGAGCCATTGACCGGTCGGATGAGACACAGCAGAATTAGTACCCGTCGTGTGAAGATTAAGGAAGTCGGTGATGTCCTTATCTGCAGCGGTCGTCATGGAATCACCAGAATACTGAGAATGAGGTGTTTGATTCCGAAGTAGCGCACTATTCAACCAATTCGGAGTGCTCTGAAGCAGATGCTCAGACTTAGAACCATCTCCAGCCGGAGAGTGATCAGTAAGCTGATCAGATAAAATAGAGCGCAGAGTGCTATCAAGCGGCCGTTCCGACTGCTCCTCCGGAGGCTGGTTCCCGTAACGGAGAGGAAGTCCCCGAGAGAGTTGGTCCCGGAAAGCCATAAAAGCCTTCACCAGTAAAGAAGCAGATTCAGTCACTTGGAACTAGTCAAAGATTACACAGCCATATAGGAAGCTGGTGATATAGACAGATCAACCGGTACAGAATCGAGTGTACAGTTCAAACGTGTCTTTGAGAACAGAAAAAAGAGAGGCAGGGGAAGCCTTGGGAAGATGTTGAATTTTACAGATTAGGAAGGAATGAAAGCAATGGATACAGAGGGCGGTTTTCAGGCGATGAAACAGCTCGGAAAACTGCCAATTGTAAGGGCGGAGACTGGTAGGAATCCTCTTAGAAAATGACACAATCTTTAATTTTTGTAAATAATCAATGAACTAAAATATCTCCTTCCTAATGTGCGTGTATATATATATATATATATTATTTTGTTGAATATAATTCATTAATTATTGAAATATTGTTAAATATTGCTCGAAGCACCGCTAGCAAATATTGTCTTGTTTGTGCTCATTGAGTATTAAAACGTGTCTACTGAGGTTTCTTCACGTTGTAAGCAATGTTTCATTCCTCTCTCCAACTGATTTAAGATCTCACAACCCATTCCTTAAGGCCTAACGTCCTCACTGGCATATCACTCGGTGTCTAGCTTTGATACTATTTCTTGATTTGTGTGTGTCATCCTCGCATAGGGGCCATGCTAATCTTATATGTATCATTCCAATTTTATTGGATGTCCCCGACTGTAAGATCTCACACTGATTGAGGAGGAGAACTAAAAATTACTTATAAGGGTGTGGAAACTCTCTGAGTAGATGTACTTTAAAACCCATAAAGAAAAATCTAAAAAGAACTATGGGGAACTAAAAATTACTTATAAGGGTGTGGATTTGGACTGTAATAAATTTTATCAAATTCAAACACTAAGTGGTGTATTAGTGAGAACGCTGTGTCCCCTATCAAATCTAGTCATTGGGTGGTGTAGCAATGAGAACACTATTTGGACACTGAGTGGTGTACTAGTGAGAACGTTGGGTCCCCTATCAAATCTAGCTACTGGGTGGTGTAGCAACGAGAACACTAGGTCTCCGATAAATCCAGACACCAAGTGGTGTACTAGTGAGAACGTTGGGTCCCCTATCAAATCTAGCCACTGGGTGGTGTAGCAATGAGAACACTAGGTCTTCGATAAATCCAGACACCGAGTGGTGTACTAGTGAGAACGTTGGGTCCCCTATCAAATCTAGCCACTGGGTGGTGTAGCAATGAGAACACTAGGTCTCCGATAAATCCAGACACCAAGTGGTGTAATAGTGAGAACGTTGGGTCCCCTATCAAATCTAGCCACTGGGTGGTGTAGCAATGAGAACACTAGGTCTCCGATAAATCCAGACACCAAGTGGTGTACTAGTGAGAGCGTTGGGTCCCCTATCAAATCTAGCCATTGGGTGGTGTGACAGTGAGAACGCTAGGTCTCCAAGAGGTAGATGTTGAGAACCAACACTAATGCACCGAATCCCATCACAAACTTCGCAATTAAATGGATCTAGACTCTAGACTCTTACAATTATTTTGTGAAAAAACTTTATATTATACAATTAAATGCGATGATATCTACTATTTATTGGCTAGTGCATAATAATATAAATAATTGTAATTGATGTGACATAATATGATGCCATTATTTTGAATACATATTACAAAGTCCGAGATGAAATGAATGAAATTTCATAACGATAGGGATATGACTTCCATAAGTTCTATAAAGGGTCTTCTGCCATCTTTTGCACTATAAACGATACGTCCTTACACCCAATAATTGGCTTTACTTTGGACCACACAACTTTATACCATACCATATAACTTAGTGCATACTTGAATCAATTAGGGTTTTTGCGCTCGTAAGGTCTTGTAAGCATGGCTACGGGTTTTTCTGTGTCTTATTTTATTCTTAATACAATCTCTGATGAACGGAAAAAATGGTTAATAGTACCCACCTGTTTTTAATGATATATGTTTAATGAAACGTTTTGGATTGAGCAAGTAGGTGGTAGTTGCCCGATTGTTGGGTAAGTAATGAAACATGAGATAGGAAATAGAGAGTGATGTGTTGAAGGAAGAGTATTCAGTCTATGCACGTACTTTTAATTAATCAGTTGAATTAAAAGGTTACATTTTCTCCACTGATCCCACGTTGGTTAGAGAGGGGAACTGTAACGGCCCAGATTCACCACTAGCAGATATTGTTCTCTTTGGGCTTTCCATTTCGAGCTTCCTTTCAAGGTTTTAAAACACGTATGCTATGGGAAGGTTTTCACACCCTTATAAATGATGGTTTGTTCTTCTCCCCAACTAATGTGGGCACATCACATAAACGAAGCTTATTGTTTTAAAAATATGAGGCTGATAGTGGTATGTAACGAGCTAAATCGAACAATATTTGGAGTGAAATTGGACTACTGTAAAGACCATTTGAGAGAAATCATAAATCAAAAGGTAAAAAAATTGCTGAATTTTTTGAAAAGGAAGAGAAAGGGGGACCATGGAGTGCACTAATTCTCTCACCGATCACCCATCCGACCGGCACGCCTTTATATACCCACCCTATCCTCACCTTACACGTGTCACGTCTGTTACTGGGGACCGTCACCTTTATTTTCACTCCCGGCCCTCTGCTGCCGCCTTAAATCAAAGCCAACTACTTTGATTATTGGTTGTGGGTAAAAGTTGAGTTAATAATTTTTAAATAATAATAAAAAAATATATTAGAAAAAAAAAAAAAAAAAACCATAATTGAGACCAATTTTTTGTCCACTAGCGATAATACATAACGAGTTGAAGCGGGCAATATCAGTTAACGGTTGGATTTGACTGTTACAATAATATCAAAGCCAAACACTAAGCAAGGAACAATGGTGGGACTATTACCAGTCAGATTTGACTGTTATAAATGAGATTATAACGTCTCATGTTTTAAATTCAAATCGCATATTTTTTTGCATTAACATCAAAAAAACGATGATAAAAATAATTTTGAAAGACATAATTATTACGAGAAAGGAATGGAAAATAATTGAGGTTCTAATGAAAGCAAAAACTGTATGGACTATTGATTGAATGAATATAGTGGAAGAAGGTAAAGGCACCGATGGTTGTCCCAATCCCGAACAAAAAAAAAAACGTAATTTTGGTACACATAACCTTTTTCTAAACACGTCAACTCTCTCATTTCAAATTTTCAAATCGTTTTGGCTCTTCTTCACCATCACACATCGACCAACGCCAGAAATGGTCATCGATGGTGGTCACTGGAGTTATCAAGAAATAATTGTTTAAGTGGAGTTGTTGACAGTTTGTAACAATGGACTGTAGTAGTCATCAACGAGCGAGATAATTTGAGGGCATTTTAGTCATTTTAATAGACAACTTATTATACAAAATACAAAATTAAAAAAATTAAAAATTCAATGAATGTTAATGTCATTATATGTAAATTCATTACTATTTATTCACGTGTGATTTTATTTTAAAACTTATTGTATCATATTTATTAATATAATAATTGAGTTCCAAATGTAAAAAAAAAACAAGTTTTATAGTATGAACTAATAGCTATTTATTTTTTATTTTTTATATCTTTAAAATTAAATCTCTAAATATATATATATTTTTTAATTTATTTTAAAATTTAGAATTTTGATGGAAATTCAAAATATTTTTAAATTTTAAAAATAAAAATAATAATCATACAACTAGACATAATTATTAGCATTCAATGTGGGCATATTATGGAAAAAAAAAAAAAAATTGGTTAATGAATAGCGTGAGTGCATTTCAGCAGATAATTTCTTTTCAAATTAAAGAGGACAAGGCATTTTGTCAAAGGCTTGTCACATCATAAGCTTAAATCATGTTTGACAAGATTTGATATTAAAGATACACATTTTTTTTTTTAATTTTTTGGGTTTTCAAAAAAAATAAATAAATAAATAAATACAATTCGTTAGTCGAGAATTCGATCAATTTGAATTTTCCGACTCAAATTAAAATTGAAAGTTCTTCGATTAGTAGGTTGACTTTTTTTGTGGGTCAACTCCCAAAAAGTAGTAAATTAACCAAGTCTAAAGTGATGTCTCTTTCCCCTTCAAGTTTACTTATTACACGTACCAACAGCGTGAACAACAGACGTAACGCTTTAGCTAGTACACGGAAGTGTCATACCATGATTCTTCTATCTACCAATAACGACATGCATTGCACGATGAATGTGAAGAAGTAGACCATTATCTCAACAATAATGAGTCAAGCTATTATTTACAGTGAACCCATCTGTTAAATAGTCATGCATACGACAGAAACTCCCAATTCTCGAGCAAAAACATGATTTCAACCTAACCCAATTCAACATTACATTTAATATATATATATATATACACACATTTGCAACAAAAGTCAATGATAAATTGTAAATATTTTGTATTTAAATTTTATGAGATTTTAGTTATTAAAATATATCGGGGATGGTATAAATTTTTTAAATAATTAAAAAAAATAACTCGACAACTCAACTCAACCCCAACTCGAACTCGGTGGGTTGAATTGAGTTGTAAACTCGAATCAAAAGTGATAGGCCAAAGTCTTAAGCATCAAACTCAAAACCAATCAAACCAACGGTTGACAAACGTTCGAGCAGCCAACCAAACGAGGAGCAGTCTGTCTAAATTCTGAGCCAATCAAATCCATAGGTTAAGCGACCGATCAGAACTCTCAAGATTTGAGCAAAGATTTCAACATAGAACAAGTTTGATTAGCTTTTCTTTTTACCTACAAAGAATCAAACATGTTTGATCCTACAATTTTGAAACGAATTTCAACAAGGGATGGATCGATGAATCGATGGATTCTACTCGAAAAGACTTTCGAAATAACAACATAAGAAAGTCTCATGTTTCAGAATTCTCATGAACTTTCGTTGGGGTAAGTAACACCTCGGCAAATACAAGCTCCGCTAAATCATTCTTCGTTTGGCATCGGGTCAAGTTGTTATCTCGAAGCAATGTCTTGTTGACGAGTCACAGAATCCATTTGTGAGCTTCAAAGACAGTCATCAGCTGGGATCATGTTTAGATCAGGTAGAAAAAAACCACCACTTTCCATTGGATTAATCTCTCGTGTTCTGTCGGATTCGGACCGTGTACTATTTCCAGGTACGGTTTGTACGGGCGAAGAAGTTATAGGAAGGGTTTCGGGTGTTGGATCCCAATCAGTATTTGACAACGAATCGAAGTTCAAATCGAGCTGAAAAACAGGAAAGATTGAAATCAAAAGATGAACAAGAAATTCTGAGATTTGTCAACAGGAAATTTTGAATCACCTTCATTTTCTTCAACTTTTCATTGTTGGTCGTGTGTTCTTTGAACGTGGCATGTAAGCCTTCAAGCTCCTGACATTAAACAAAGAACACAAATGAGTAGCAGCATCATTGCTTTAACTAAAGTAAAACAAACAAACAGAAGGATATGGCTTCCATTGGCAGCGCGTGAAGAACAATGATTCTCAAAACAACGTGCTTTTCAACTATACACTAATTGCTACTTTATTCAAAAGCACTTGAAGAGCCGTGCTTGTAGGAGAGATCTGTGAAGTTCAAATTCAAAAAAACTCACTTTTTTAAAAAGCAAAACACCGCTATTAATATAACAGCCGAAATCCACTACCTCTCGCAAATATTGTTTGCTTTGGCTCGTTACATATTGTCGTCAGCCTCACGATTTTCAAACGCACTAGGGAGAAGTTTCTATACCCTTAAAACAAATGTTTCGTTTCCCTCTCCAACCGATGTGGGATCTCACAATCCACCCCTCTTGAAGCCATGAGTAGATATTGTCTACTTTGGTCCGTTACGTATCGTCGTCAGTCTCACAGTTTTCAAATGCATCTACTAGGGAGAGGTTTCCACACCCTTATAACAAATGTTTCATTCCCCTCTCCGGCCGATGTGGGATCTCACAATCCAACCCCTTGGAGGCCCAGTGTCACAATCGCGGTTTGACCGTGACACCCAGCATCCATACCAGCACACACGCGCAGTGTCTGATTGTGATACCATTTGTAACAGTCAAAGCCCACCACTATCAAATATTATTTGATTTGGTCCCTTAACGTTTTCAAACATGTCTACTAAGAAAGGTTTCTAATCAGTCCAAAAACACTTTTAAAAGCAAATTCATCAGACTGCAACTCTGATTCTCTCCATTACCTTTCTGAGATGAACTCTTTCCTTCAAAAGTAAAGACTCCTCTACTCTCAGATCAGCCAATGCCTGAAAAAAGTTTATGGGTATTATTTCAGATCAGCCAATGCCATAAACAATATGTAGCAAACAAGAAGATGAGGATATTACCTTCTTTCTTTTAAGCCTCTTGGCCATGGCAATCCTCCAGCTGAATTCATTACTACCACACCCCTACACAAAAGCCCAACCCACATCGGATTCACTTTCTTTATACACAAAACACAACACATAAAAGTCACAATTACATTCAGAAAATTCAAAAAACAGAGACCCTTTTGTTTTGTTTTTTTTTTCTCATTTCAATTCTGATAAACCAGTGATTAAAGGCCACATCATGACACCCACTCACATGGTCGCTTATTACATAAATCTAACTAAACCCCTCAATTTCTTCTTGAGAAGATACTTTTCATCGCTCGCGTGACCCTTCACGTGCCCTCTTCATTCAATTAAATGCCATTTAAAAAACAGAGAAAAAAACAGAGGGATGAAAAGGATCATTGACCTTCAGATCTGAGAACCCAAAGGATCAAATGGTGGCTTAAGAACCATCTCTGGATGGTTCCAACCCCTTCCACGCCGTCCGATTATAAGGGGCTCAAACTAATTGCTCTGATCTCGAGAACGGAAGATAAACAAACATACTTGGTTCAATGACTTTGCCAAAGCATTCTATCTCCAACGCCGTTCTCGAGACCGTCATTATTGTTTGGTTACCGGCTCCGTTCCGACGGTATTGAGAACAAAAAACGGAAGAAAATGGTCATCGTTCAAAAGAGAATTGTGGGTTTTGGGTTGAAATGCGTTTTTCTGAGAAATTACGAGCAAATTCATCACGTGGTGTTACAGAATCGGCCACGATGAGCGAAGAACTCGCTCGTCGGCGCGACTCAGAATCGTGAGAAATTCGCCGAATCCATGGGTAAAAGAAACCGCCACGGCGGAGATCGGTGGCTCTGTATCTAAACCCAAAACCAGAGAAGGAAATAAAAAAAAAGCAAAACGGAGAAAAGAACCTTGGATCTGGAGGAGTGGGAGAATCCGGAAGGATGACTGGACTCTTCGAATCCATCGGCGGTGGCGGAAGGGGAGGTGTCGCCGCTCCAAGAGAGAGGAGTGGTGGGGCTGCATCTGGTGGAGCTGGACTCCTTATTCTTATGAGAAAAAACATCGTATCGAAAAGAGGAAAGAATCCTGGAACGCCGCTGCTTGAGACCCCATTTGGCCGGAATAGCAGCGGGTACCGGAGATTTCACGGAGGAGGAAGCTTGGGACTGCTTGAGACGAACCAGTAACTCAACGACGACGCTGTCATCAGCCATGGCCGCACTCAACCACTCGTCCTTCAAGACCATCTTGACCGGCGGCGGGCGACGGCGAGAGAAGGGAGTGAAAATGGTGGAAGGAAGAAATGGAAATTGGAGGAGAAGAGATTCCAGTTATTCGTTTTTGTTTGTGGGCTATTAGGGTGGGTGGGGGCGTGGACCCGGGCCCGCAGCTCTTTCCAGTATTTACCATTTTATTTATTTATTTATTTATTTTTCTAATTCTATTTTCCGTTTTTTAATTAGATATTAATATCATATTGCCGGGAAACGGCGTTTTTCTTTTTTAATTTCCAAAACCCCGGGCCCACCTACCACGTGGCGCGCCGAAATATAGCTTCGCTTTTATGAACCATGGGCTTCACATGGGCCGAGCCGGATTTTTACATAAAGCCCAATAGAAATTTTAAAAAATAATAATAATTAACGAAAATTCAATATATTTAAATTTTTATTTCTATATAGTCCTTGAAATTGGGCCAAAAATAACGATAATAATACTAGAAAATTAATTAATTTGAGATATTTAATAATTACTGGTAATAAAATTTATATGGATTAATTTAATTTCATATTAATTATTAAATTATGTTTTAGGAATTAATAATCAATGCTCAATAACTGCATTACAAACTAAATTCAATTATGAATATTCTAAATTATACTTAAATATTCCAAAATTGAATATTTAATTTTTATTTCTCATTATTGCCACGGTTTCTAGATTTATAAAAAAATTTAAAAATATATATATATAATTAAACAGATATGCATGGTATTTATTTTGATTTAATTGTAATTTTAATTATTAATTTGGTTAAAAATCTACATATTTATTGGGCCGAGTCTAAGTTGGTAAATGGGCCGTTGGGCTGGATTCGAAGTTCGTGGGCTTGAAAATGAAAATGACACGTGTTTTTTCCCGACATATATTTAAAATTTAATTAAAAGCGCGTGACGCACACATTCTAGATTTTGCTCCTAATAATTTAGGGTCACCATCCCTTTTAATTTTAGAAGATTCCCCATCTTATTTACCACAATACCCTTCCACCGTCAAATAATTTCTCAATTAATACAATAATATAAATTTATTTATTTTCAAAAAAGTTTCCCCAATTTTATTTGGGTTGTGAAATTATTTATTTAATTTCCCCAATGTAATATTTTAAAATTTAACCAAATTTATTTATGTATTTAATTTTGAAAATAATGTGTGGCCGTACAAATATAGAAGCGGGTTAAAGTGATGGATAGTTGTTGGGCTTGGGCCCTACTTCCAACTGGCCCATCAACGTCCAATTACTAAATTTTCACCTTCTTTTTTAAAAAAAGAAAAATAATAATTTTTACATATTCAAAATCCTCTATGATTGTGGGCCCCGTACAGGTATCATGTACGTAAACGTAATTTCATGTCCCTCCAACTTTTTTTATTATTATTATTATTAGAGTTGTCAATTTTATGTTCGAAGTTATGGTCTCGGAATTCTCCGTGCAGATTGAGAATGAAAAGAGAGTGGAGAACATTTTTTTAATAAATGGAGTCGGTAACGAGATTATATTTTCTGTTCCCGTCTCGTTTAATATGAATATATTTTCAATATATATTAAAATTAATTAATTAATTAATTTTGAGACGTTAATCCTAAGGTTTAATATTATAGATTTTTTTAATTAAATTTATCTGATTCTTTATCTCAAAGGGTTCTTTAGGTCATTTTGTTATTGATTTGATCCGCCTCAGTTTGTTGATCTTGTTAGATCGAGCTTTAACCGGTTGATTGTTTGAAATTTTTTCTGACTGACTTATATATTAATTGTTTTTTTATAATATGGAGGGACGCGTGAAATATTAAATAATTGAATTTATTAATATTATAATTTAAATTAAAAAAAATTATAATTTACCTAACATGTTGGGTTATTCGTTTTAAAATTTAAATTATTATATTGAATTTTAAAAAAAAGCCCAAAATTATGCAAACAATTTGTCCCATTTAGTTACCACATTCTGTTTGTCAAAAAACCAAAAAAGAAAGTTTCCCATATTCTCCCTCTCTTCTTAATTTAGAATATAATTTAAATAATAATAATAATTGTTTTTTTAATATTTATTTATTTTCGCTTTTACATATTTATTATGGAGTTGGTAAAAAAGGCTTATACTTTGTATTATAAAATTGTATATCCATCAGATCTACATTCAAATAATCGTAATAATTAATTATTTTCCGCGAAATTTGCGGGAAATTTAAACTTTTTTAAAAATTAATTCAATTTATTTTTAAAATGAAATTTTAATTATCTTATTACTATAAATCCTATTTTAAATAAATAAAAAAATCTCATTTTTAAAAAATATTAATCATTTATTCAATCAAACTTAAATAATTAATAAAACTTTAAATTTAAATCTTATCCATTTTCTTCCTTTTATTTTTTAAATTTATTTTATATTTAACCGTTGGATTTACTTTAAATAACAACTTGAAATTTTGGATATAAAGAATTACCAACCACTACTAAGATTAACCAAACTCTAATAATATACTTTAATTAATTAATATATTTTTTTTATAGTTTAAGTGAAGCGGAAGATCCAAGCATCTATGAGCCACATATAAAATCTATAGGTCCACTGTATATGTAGCCGGGCTATAGACCACATGAGTTAGATGTGTGACGAATCCCAACCGTGGCTTAGGAATCGAGTTGAAGAAAACATCGAGCCGAGACAGATGTCCCTCCTCTCTTTACTTTCTACTTTTGACAACGAAGAAGGGTGTAAATAAAAGAGATTTGTGAGATCCCACATTAGTTGAAGAAGGAAACGAAACACCGAGTGTTGAAACCTCTCTCTATTATATGCGTTTTAAAACCCGAAAAGAATCATATCTACTTGAAGTAGACTTGGACTTGGACTGCTAGCATATATTGTTATGTTATGAAGATCTAGCCTTACTCAAACTAATGTCTCGTACCATTCATTTGTAACAGCTTAAGCCCATCATTAATAGACATTGTCTAATTTGACCCATTATGTATCGCCGTCAGCCTTACGATTTTAAAACGTGCAGCTGGGAAGAGGTTATCACACCTTCATAAGAAATATTTTGTTCTCCTCTCCAATCCATATGAGATCTCATAATCCACTTCATTAGTGGCCCAACGTTTTCGTTGGCATACTAGTGTCTAACTCTAATATCATTTATAACGGCCTAAATCTATCGCTAGAAGATATTATGATATACTCGAGAACAAAACCACGGCTCGAGAGGGTGTAGAGTGAGGCAACGTTGCGTGTTCATGTTGGATGAAAGAAGAGTTCATAAATGAATTTTCAATTCTTCCTTCTCTATCTCTCTCTTGACTGTTTGTTTTATCAATGGAATCTCACACAGAAAGAGGCAGAGAAAAATGGGATTTAAAAACCCTTTTCCCCATTAACTGCCCACATGATTGGCTATGCAGCAGCAGCAGCAGCAGCAGCAGCAGCAGCGCAAGGGAAGCCCCACTGTGGTTGTGTGCGCGCTTCAGCATCTCCAATTCTTGACAAACACCACAACACGACACCCATCTCTCTCTTTCTTTTATATCTTCATCTCATCCTAATCCCGAAAGCGAATACTCCGATAATGAACCTTCTTCTTCTTCTTCTTCTTCTTCTTCTTCGATTTTGCTCTGTTTTTGTGGGTTCCTCTGCTCCGTTGCCGTCACTGCTTCCTCCATTTTCCGATTCAATGGCTGCTGCTGCTTCTTCTCCAGGTGGGTGTCTTCACAGATCTCTTTCTCTTAAATTTGATGGTTCTTCACTGAAAATTAACCAGTCATTTCATGTTTTCAGAGATTTCCACGGGAATGTTGAATCAAAGAAGCGAAACCCACAAGAGAATCGTGATTGTTCTTATCGTTTGTGCTTCATTCGGTACAGTCTCTGTGATTTCACTCATTTTGTGGGTTTATTACAGAAGGAACTCCACGAACATCCATAAACGAAACACTCGTAGCCCAGGTCAGTCACTTCTGAGTTCTTCAGGGAATCTGCCATTTTCGTTGGATTTGAAACCTCGAATGTAACACTGTTTGAATTTGGATTTGAAGATGCCGAAAAGGGTTTCGTTGGATTAGCACCATTCTTGCGCAAATTCAGCTCAAACAAGATGGTGGGTCACAATAAATTCTCTGTTCCACTCATTGATTACGAGGTTGTGGAAAAAGCCACCAACATTTTCCAGGAAAGTAACATTCTGGGCGAGGGTGGGTTCGGACGGGTTTACAAGGCTCAATTAGAACAGAATCTACACGTTGCAGTGAAGAAACTTGAATGTTTCGATAAGGATTCAGAGAAAGAATTCGAGGTAATAACTCCATGATCTTCTTCTTGTTCTTCGTCATAACAAAACTAAACTCCATTAACACGAAATTTGCAGAATGAAGTGGAGATATTGAGCAAAACCCATCACTCGAATATCATCCAGCTACTGGGTTACACGATTCATGAAGAATCAAGGCTTCTTGTATACGAATTAATGGAGAATGGATCACTTGAAACACTGTTACATGGTAAGAACACTGAATCAAAGGCGATGAATTATTGTTCTTGTGGGTTTATTATTAATTGAGGATGAATGTTCATAGGGCCTTCGCATGGAGAGGGATTAACATGGCATATGCGCATGAAGATTGCTCTGGATTCAGCGAGGTGAGTTTGTTTAAACAACGTCTGGGGTTGAAGAACTTTGTGTGTGTTCTTGACATTTGAAAACTGTTGACCAGAGGGTTAGAATATCTGCATGAACACTGCAAGCCTGCAATAATACATAGAGATCTGAAATCCTCCAATATTCTTTTGGATGCGAACTTCAATGCGAAGGTAAAATAATGGCTATCATTTAACGCTTGGAAGAGTCCAATCCATAGCTTTTTTTATATTGAGAATGAATCAGAAACAGGCAGTCTGCTGCTAGGCCCTCAATTATTTGTTCTTGTTCTTGTTTGTTTTGTGGATTCAGCTTTCTGATTTTGGGTTGTCTGTGATTGTTGGAGCACAAAACAAGAACGAGATCAAGCTTTCTGGGACGATGGGTTATGTTGCTCCCGAATATCTTTTAGATGGTATGTCTAACTCAACGTTTAATTTGGATTTTCTTCCTTGATGCTCGAAATTTAATTGATATTAGGTTTAAAAGGTTGTATCAACTTGAACATAGCTTAACTAAAACTTGTATATATATATCATCGACCAAAACGTCTTCTTCCTTGATGCTCAAAAAATGAGCTTTCTTTTACTTGTATAGGCAAATTGACGGATAAGAGCGATGTCTATGCGTTTGGTGTTGTGCTTTTGGAGCTACTTTTAGGGAAAAGGCCTGTTGAGAAACTGGCACCAACTCAATGTCAATCCATTGTCACATGGGTAGTTCTCCTCCTGAAACCAATCCTCTAATACTCTCAATGTCATTCAATATGTTTCTCAAATTGGAATTTTGTTTTGCAGGCTATGCCTCATCTCACTGATAGATCAAAGCTGCCTGATATCGTTGACCCGGTGATCAAGAACACAATGGATCCGAAACACTTATTTCAGGTTCGTAAATCAAGCTTTTCATATTGGCTATTACTCGGTCAGACATCGATAGTTTTGAGTTGAAAGTAGAATCAATGAGAATTTATGGTGTACCTGGGTTGGTATAGGTTGCTGCTGTGGCCGTGCTGTGCGTGCAACCTGAACCGAGCTATCGTCCTCTAATAACAGATGTTTTGCACTCTCTTATTCCTCTTGTTCCTGTTGAGCTTGGAGGAACACTCAGATCATCAACACAACAACAACAAGCATCTGTGGCTGAAGATTAGCTAAGAAGAAAAAGTGAGAAAGAGAATCACTTCATGATATGCGGATTCTTCAATGCACAAATGTATGATTTTTCCAATCATATTTGTTCTTATTTCTGCAAATATGGTTGCCTGCCCATGGTGCCTGGTTCAAATTCTTGTGAAGAATGGTAGAATGTTATGCTACATAATTTTTTTATCCTCCACAGAACAATAAAAAGATGCATAATTTTGGGGCAAAAAGGTGCATTTTTAGAACTCTTCTGTACATATGATCATCGAGCCACTCATAAGATGCTATGCTACATTAAAGAAATGGAAAGCCAAAAAAAGGCAATAAGATTTTCCTTCTATATCTTGCATCTAAAGCATAGTAGCAGTAGCAGTTTTTCCCTAGTAAGGTCTCTCCCTTGAATGAAAACCTAGTATCTTGGGTTAATAAAGGGAAGAGGAAGAGTTTTATGACTCTACTTTCTATCACTGTACTCTAATCCCTACTGAATAAGAACTCTTTCACTTTTTCGTTCATCTCGGTCTTTCAGTAATTATCAAAGTACGAAATACCAAAACACATGGAAATGACTAATCTAATCTAACCATGTTCCATGAGATAGATCAAATACATGAAAGTTAAATAACTCTAGAAAGTCAGTTAGAACCTTGTAACAGTGGAGGTGTGAGATCCCACATAGGTTGGGAAGGAGAACAAAGCACCATTTATAAAGATGTGGAAACCTTTCCCTAGCGGATGTAGTTTAAAAGCTTTGAAGGAAAGCCCAAAAGGGAAAGCTCAAAGAAGACAATATCTACTAGCGGTAGGCTTAGGCTATTATGGTCTAAAGTTAATAGCCTAAAGTTAAACATGCAAATAGCAAAATACGTTTAAGTACTAAGAAATATTTAAGCTTCAAACTTGATCACAAACTAAGAGTTCCAACTATCACTGAGCCACCTTATTACAAAATTTAGATCAAAGTCTCAGCTAGACTTAGATTCCGATAAGAAGTCATATTCGATTACTCGAGAATATAAGACTGGAAAGCAAAACTTTGAGAATACTATTTTTTAATTGTATATCCTATTTGATATCCAATTTACCACACGTTGTGGAACGAATCGATGATGGCGTCTGCGAGATATTCACATTTAGCTAATGATAGTCCAGCTAACGAAATCCGTCCATCCTTCGTCATGTATACATGCCATTTGTCTGTCATATGATCACTCTGCTTGAACATAAAGGATGCAAATCAACATGTTACGAAAACCCAAAGCACAAAGTGCATTGCTGCCAAAACTTGAAAAAGAAATCAGATAGAACAATACGCTAGGACAGTCAGTTTCAAAAGGATATGTTAAAAAGCATATTGATGTTAAATTGGAAAGTATCGTATGTTGTGTGTGAACAGTAGAGAAAATTCATCAGTCTATAAGACAGTAATCACCTGAACTTTGCTTAAGCCTGTGAATGAGAACATGCCAATCTGCTTGAGTATAAAGGACCAATCTTTCCCACTTTTATCTTTTGCGCTGAGACTATCATAGAGCTTCTGTCTAACATTCTTTATCCTTCCTGCCATCATTTCCATTTCTGCTTTCCACTCGTTAAATAGTGCTGGATCTCCAACAATATTCGCAACAATTCTAGCCCCATGAACTGGAGGATTTGAGTACATTGGTCGAGCAAGCCTCTTGAGCTGGCTCTTTACTCTAAAAATATATAAGTATCCATTAAAAATTTATAGCAATAAAACAGAATGGACAACTTCCTCACGCTACAGACTTCAACGAGAAGAACAATCAACTATTTACATTAATTATCATGAAAATTATAGATGACTAACCAAAAGTGAACAAATAAAAAATAATTTCATTTAACTATAAAAATTATGCAAGCCATGCATCTCATACCCAATATCTTTTCTGAACCAGCAGGAGAACATTGAAGTGCCTATTTCCATTTCTTTTTATTTAATAATACAATATTGAATATAAGCCAGGGTCTTACAAACATCTTTTATTTAGGTTTTTATGCATTTTCCAGAGACCAAGGAATAATAACAGACGTAAGAAATCATGGAAAGGACAATGCATCAAATTTTGCTCACTGAACCTTGTTGCTGCATCTGATGATGAGCAGACCACGTTGATAGCCCCAATCCTTTCAGCGTAAAGACCAAGATTTTTACTATATGATTGAGCAACCAGAAGCTCCAAACCACGAGCAGCAAACAGCCTAACAGATGCTGCATCTGCATCAAGGCTTCCACTAGCAAATCCCTAGAACTCGAGAGGAAAAATCTTATTTAGGGTAACCTTTTTGAAGTACTGCAATTATGGAGCTCTAAAATGAGCAAGCGCACAGACCTAACTGCATATAGGTGCACCTAACTCCAAGTTGAAACAAAATGTTATGTTAGATGTTTTCTGTTCAAAGAATCAATACACTACCTGATATGCAACATCGAAAAATGGAATGTGGTTCTTTTCCTGAATGACATCAGCAATTTTTTCCCACTGCTCAGGTGTTGGATCAATGCCAGTTGGGTTGTGAGCACAACCATGAAGCAACACAAAAGATCCTTCAGGTGCCGCCTGGAAGATGTATGTGGAAAGACAATGAGAAGAAATCGTAAAAAAGAAAAGAGCAATGAACTTGAGAACTAGCCTCAAGACAAATATCACGAGGAAATGATACGGTCAGGCAATAACCTTAATATCAGATATCATCCCGTCAAAATCCAAACCAACTGTTTTAGGATCGTAATATCGGTACTCAGACCATGGAACTCTCGCATCATTGAAAATATTTTTATGATTCCCTGCAACGAAAATTTCCTGGCCATGAAAATTTAGTTTGCCAAGAAACAAACCAAGTAAGAAGTGAAGTAAACATATCAATACAAACCCCAAGTTGGAGAAGATATCAGGACTTTTGCACCAGGAAAGTATCGTTCAATAAGAGCTGCAGCAATTCTAAGAGAACCAGTCCCTGACAGACCTTGAATAGTTGCAACCTAGAAAAATATGGAATAAATAAAACAAAATGGGATCACACTTGCAGCATTAGTACTTCACTGATTCTTTCTTTAAGCAAAGATCCATTGATATAGAAAGAAAATGGAATTTCAAGCTAAAGTTTCACATACGCGTTGCTGCTTGATGACTGCGTTATCAGCTCCAAATAATAATTCTGCAGTGGCCTTATTGAATGCAGCCAGACCTTCAATTGGGAGATACTACACATAGGAAATAAGTTATATAAAGAATCATTGGAGCTGATAAGAATTCCAAATAATACATTCATATGCAGTACCATCAACATACCTCTTTGTTATCTCCTCTCTCAAGCATTAGTTTCTCTACCTGTTTAATCAAAGAAGCAAAGTTCAATATAATAAAGTTTTAAGGCCAACCTCCATTGAAAATCATGATTGAATAAAAATACAAAGATTTCATTAATAAAACCCAATTGCAGAGTCGGAAAAGGAAGATTTTGACCTTCTTCACAACATCAAGCACATAGGGATGTAGCTCTTCTGTGCGGTATGCACCAACTCCCAAGTTGAGTTTGTTTCCATGCGTATCTGCTTTGAAAGCCTCAGAAACTCCAAGAATTGGATCAGGAGGAGCCATCGTTATCCCCTCAAAACGAGAAGCATTAACCGAAGCAACCATTGATATCCTGCTCAAGGACTGAAAAAAAAAAAAAAAAATAGTACTGCATCAATCCGCCTTTCGCTCCCCTACACTCTACACTATCATTTTCTAAATCTTTTCGTTGAAAACTACACTTCAGTAACTCCAACTACATAAGCAATAAAATTTAGAAAATGTGCATGAATCGTGATAGCGTTTGCACAGACATCCTTCAAAAGTACGCCAGCATGCAAAAAAGACACATATAAACACTCGATCTAATGAACGAATAGCATTTCAAGATCAACAAACCAACCAAACAAACAATTCTTTAAAATAAATAAGAAAAATATTGAGAATGAACAAACAACTACCCCGATCAGCAACTGATTGAAGAGAAGTTAACTAATCAATTCCGATACAGAAAGAGAGAGGTGACAAAGCATACCTTCGCCTTCGCGAACGGATTGTTTTTCTCTCGATCGATACTTAGACAGTTACTTCCAAGGTTCAACTTCGCCAGCTAAAGGAGCAGAACGCACAATTAGTCATCATTAGCAATAAACTACTACATCCATTCCAGAAATCAAAACAGAAAAGAGTGAAGACCAGAAGACAATATCGTAAGAACGAAAGCGGTAGCTAACGGAGGATAGAGAAAACCTTCATGTTCTCAAGCGAAGAAAGTGAAGCTGAAGGCGAGGCGTAAGCGAGAGGAAGGAAAGAGGACGCCATCTAAATCCCACGCAAGAAGCTCAGCAATGAAGCAAACAAAAACGAATTGATACAACAGGAAATCAATGAATACAGAGCTTAAAGGAAATTGGATCAGCGACAATGGAGTTCACAAGGAGAGCAAGATGGAGCGAATGAATGAGGAGAGAAGGCGATGGGTTCGAGGGGCAATTGTGAGGGACTTGGCTGCAAACGCCGGGCGTTGGTTGGATCTGTTCCCAGGGGCTGAAATGGTAATTATGGTAGCTTGAGAAGGATAAAATGGGCAATTGAGTTTATGGATTGGATTCGTGTCTTAAAATGATGCCACGTGTACGCTACTTCTCAACTCGTTTAATTAAATGGTAATTTTTTTTAATGTGAAATTAAACCTAATTCAATCATTTAGCCGCATTTTTTAAATTAAAACTTTAATATTTTAATATTTAAGCTTCACTATCTAGAATGGCATAAGCCCAAATTTTTGTCTTATATTTTAATATATTTCTTAAATGTTCAAAATTATTCTTTTTTTTTTTTTTTTTGTCTAAATTAACTAGTTTATACTATTAAAATGTTCAAAATTACACTATAATGTATATAAATACTTCTAATAAATAAGATAAATATGCATATAAATTATATACATCATATAATTTCATTCTATATATAAAATAAATATACATAAATGTTTATTTCTATCGTTTTCTTTTCAAATAAAAAATGAATATTACTACAATAAAATATGCAAGAATGTAATATTATTAAATTGACATGAATAAAAGGTCAGATATTAAAGTAAAAAAGGAGCATTTTTTAATTTTAAATAAAAGTCAAATACAAAAAAGTCCAAATTGATAACGTACTTACAACTTGCCTTGAAACTTATATTTGTTAATCTTGAATTGCCACAAAGGGTAAACTTGGAACAATACCCACAAAAATAATGAATTAATTTTTTTTTAGGAAGAAATTTAATCTTAATATTCATAAATGATATGACCATTTTTATATGTAAAGAAAAGATACCATATTTTGACGTTAAAGCATAATTATAATGAGACAGCCCCTAACATATAATAACAAATAAAAATATATTAAAACTCCAGAATTGGAATTACCAATATCTAAAATAAACCCTACCAATAAATTAAACATGCTCATATATATATATATATATAGTTAAGATAAGTGATGAAATTCCCCTCCTACCCTTGTAATGTACAGAAATTACCAAACGCCTTCAACAAAAAATTGCATCACTTTCCCTTCGAATAATCTCAACATTTTAAAATTTAATAATAGAAAGAGAAATCAAACTTCTCTACCGCAACTAAAAATAAAAATATGAAAGACGAATATCATAGGCAACAATTGTCAAATTGAAAGTTTTCTCAAATAAACTTTAAATGTGATTCTTGAATTCTCAGCACGAGACTCACATGGTTACTAAAGAACTTTAAATTATCACTATTATTATAGAAATTAAACACGAAATGTAGTTTAGAGTTCAGACAATCAAAACCAATGACCCAAAAGTTTAACCAGCATAGAATATAGAAAAAGATTTAGAAACTCAAACCATACTTGGAACAAAAATGTCATCAATGACGTAGATGATAGATTTGTTCAAATATTACAATAAAACACCCAGCCAATTAATATATGAATCAAGAGACAGTATGTAAATGGAAAGCCTGGTGTGGATACCAAACTCCTCCCGTTCATATGAATACTTGAACGATCAAGACAAAACTGAAACTCCCACCGGTGTTAGAAGAATAGGCACTAAACTGAAATAGGATAGTAATAAACGAAACGAACACGATAGTAACATATGAACTGAAACTACTCCAGATATATATTTAAAATAGAAGTAAGACTAAATAATACTGCTGGTGTTTCTCTTCCACAAGTTCTTAATTGAGAGACAAAAATTCAAACATCTAGTTCTATATTCTTTGTCTTCACCGCATCTAATGCTTAAATAGGTTTCAAAACAATTGCGAAGGATTGAAGAGCAAATCACAAACAAAACACCTCAAAATCCGAGCTTAGTACGTCGCCAGTGCCTTCGCTTCGCATTGTACCTAAACAAGAAGCCAAAATGCAGCGTTAGATTTTAAATCGAAAAGCATTGAAATGATAACATGGAAGAAACCAGAACGGAAGAGTAAATACCTGATGGTATTGTCGGTCCTAAGGCGGATCCAGTGAGGAATAGGCCTATTCTGCCTCATCTTCTTCGCCAACTTCTTCTTGATTCTGAAGGTCTTGTGAGACGGCTGCGCATGATTAAGAAAACTTACATCACAAAACCTCCCGAAACAAAAATCAATTGAAAGTACAATGCAAAAAAACTCGAGAGATAAAATGCAGAAACGAAATCATTCCAATGAAGAAATAGTTACCATCTTGGAGATTCGGGAACCGGCTGCGAGGGCTTCGGATAGCGAACAACTAGCAAAAACCCTAATTTCAGAGAAAGGATGAAAGAGGAGATGAGCCTTTTATATGAACCGCCAAAACCATGCTGCCCGGGAAATTAACGAGAAGTCTCGGTCCAACCCAGACAATATAATGGGCCGATCCATAAAACATATTCATTGGGCTCATATACCAAAGGGCCCTTTGCAAAAATTTAAAGTTTTTTTTTTTTTTTTTAAATAAAGTTAGGAACAGACCGCGAAAGAGTGGTTAAATAAATAGGTTTTATGGTTGGAAGGATTGTGACGGACAAATGAGAAAGAGACACGTCAGTATATGTGGCGTCAGTCAATACCCATAATCAACGGGATTGATGGATAACAACCAGCGATGGGCGTCACGGTCACGGATCACCATGATGGACAACCGGATTGGAGCAGGTACGAAATTGGGCCCATGTTTGGTAGTTAGATAGCCTGGCCCATAATCCCGATGCCACCACGTGGCACATTTAAATATATATATATATATATATATATATATATATATAAATTTGTCATTTTTTTTGTACTTTTAATTACCGAAAATTATAAATATCAATATAAAATTAATTAAAATAATTTACTACTTCCGACATTATAATTAAACCATAACAATTTAACGTTAATTAAACAAAGGAAAAGTCTAGAAGGACAATATCGGCTAGCGGTGGGTTTTGCGGGAAACTTGAGAAAGTCGAAGCTCAAATAAGACAAAATTTGCTGACTTGTATTATTCATCTGGATCCATGCTTAGATATCTAGTCATGATATTGAGGTTGTCAAAGTACTTAAACTACCGCTTCTTAACCCTTCTCCCCCACACTCCCTGCTCGCACTTAGGGAGCTCGCACAGCTCAAAAACGGTATCAATGGCGAGGCCTCAACGGCGCTATCGAGGCGTTCGTCGACGGCATTGGGGGTCTTGGGTTTCCGAAATTCGTCACCCTTTATTGTAAGTCTCAAGCTAATAATTTCAGTTTTGTTTTCAATTTCTTATGTGCTCTGCTGCTCTGTTCTTCGCAGGAAAACCAGAATTTGGCTGGGCACTTTCGAAACGGCCGAAGATGCAGCCAGAGCTTACGACGGAGCCGCCCGGCTCATGTGTGGCCCTAGAGCCAGAACCAATTTCCCCTTCAACGCAAATGATTCCAATTCTTTTAAACTCTTCTCTGCAAATTTGACCGCGAAGCTTCACCGGTGTTACATGGCGTCTCTGCATTTGAAGAACCCATCGCCGCAGAAACCCGCCATGCCAGTGACGATGGAGAAGGAAAGGGTGGCGGCGGCGGCGGTGAAAAAGGGTCAGACGGAGACGGCCGCCCATCAGCCGTTTGAGGCTCTGGAAGAGAATGATATTGAACAGATGATTGAGGAATTGATTCATTATGGGTCCATTGAGCTCTGTTCTGTGATGCCACCGCCGCCGCCGCCGCCGTCTCAGGCGTTTTGATAATTTATTAAAATTTTATAAAAACCCATTTTGATCCAACTTTGGGGATTAGAAAATTATTGTTATTTGTATAATCCAATCATTTTAATCTACTCCTACTATCCTTATTCACAATAATTCAATAATTTGCGTGGATCGTGTTCTCTAATAAAGAGATGGGTCTATGTCTGTGATATCTCACATTAGTTGAGAGAAGAACGAAACATTCTTAATAAGCGTGTGAAAACCTCTCACTACTAAACACGTCTTATAGACCTTGAGCGAAAGCTCGAAAGAGTATTGACACCTAGCTATGGACAGCTGTTACTATATATATGGAGGTGAGGTAAATTGGATAGAAAAGGGACAAAATAATATGTTGTTTGAGAATTTGGTGCTTTGTTTGAGAAGGTTCTTGACATATATTTTATGTTCGTTTAGTTTTAGCTAGCTGTGACAAAAAAAATCATCGATTTTACTCGTGGACTGAGAATACCCGACTTATCAGACAATAAGGAAAAATTCGAGGGTTTTGAGTGGGTAAGTATATGGTTCTTATAAATGAATAAAAAGAATAAAGTAGGTCAAACATAATGATGCACACACAATCATGAATCTCATGCATTCCAATATAACAATCATATCCACTCACTTATTTTTACATTTGTTTTTCGAATTTGCACGATATTAGCCATTTACAAGTAGCATATTACAGTTCTTCGAGAGAGTGTGTGCATGTGAGTCGAGATCAGTCTAGGTCATATGGATTGGTCTTGCCATTCTCGAATGTGGGTCTAGGTCACATCGAGCTTGGTTAGCCAGTTCCCAATGGAAGTGTTGGGTGACGTAGACTCATCTCGAAAGGGCTGGCCTCATATTATCGAGATAACGAAAAAAAATTTAAACCACCCTATTCCATGTTTTTTTTTTTTTTTTAATTTTAATTTTATATATAATTAATATAATTTAATTATCTACCTATACCTAAGTCCTACCACCTTCATTCATGAATTTGTAATTGATGGGCCAATAAATTGGGCCGTTTCAAATTCATGGGGCGGCCCAATTGTTTAAAGGCCTGTTTTACCTCAGCCCAATATTTCATTTTTATTTTGGATTAATTAATTAATTTATTGTATAAATTAAAAGGATGATAAAGGGTTAGGCCAAGGATGTGAAAAGGGTTGGTAGTTAGGTACCCCAACTGGCACTAACAAAATAATAATAATAATAAGTAAATAAAAAGTTATTTAATTATGACGTAGATGTTGAAAAATAAAAAAATAAAAAATAAAAGTAATAGGGTTTTATAAA